GAGAGAGATCAGTGTATAAGCAGCCAGTAAGAGAATAATAATAATAGAATGCTCAGAGCAATTTTATGATCATAAAGAAGTGGATCAGTTCCTCAAAAACTACAAAAATTCAACCAAGATGAATCCTTGAATTCCTATAATCACTTAAAAGAGTGAATTTGTAATCTAAAAGCTCCTATGAAGCAGCAATCTCCATGCCTACATTATTTCACTAGAAAATTCTACCAAACATTTAACGAAGCTTAAACACCAGTTCTTCTCAATTTTGTGCAGAAAATAGAAGAGAAGGGACCATTTCCCAACCTATTTATAAGGGTAGTATTACTCTGATATGAAACTCAGAAAAGGTACCAAAAAGAAAAGAAAAGAAAAACCCAAGAAGAAAAAAAAAAACACACAAAAATATCTTTCAGAAACTTAAAAACCAAAATCTTCAGCAAAACATTGGCAAATCGAATGTACCAATGCTTTAAAAAGAACATGATGACCCAGCAGGACTCATCCCATATATGGACAACTTGCTTAACAGTTAAGTGTCATTTATGCTACCATGTAAGTAGTCTAATGAAAAAATATCACATGATAATATCACTTGGATACAGAAGAAGTAATTGACAAAACCCAGCACTGTTTTTGGTAAAAATTGTCAACAAACTAGAAATGAAGGGAGAACCTCCCCAACTTGATTAAGAGCATCTATGAACATTGCACCATGAATGACTAAATCTATAGTAATTGACTGAATTCTTTTATCCAAAGCAGGGGTGTCTGCTCCCACAATTCTTGCATACATAGTACTAGAAATTGTAACCAGTATGGTAGGGAAGAAAAGAAAGAAGAGGTATACTATTAGGAAAGGAAGAAATAAAACTATCTTTATTTATAAATGTCATGATTATTTGTGGAGAAAAGTCCAACAACACTTCTTGAATTAATAAATGAGTTTAGCAAGGTGCAGGATACAAAATCAATAAAGAAAATCAATCAAGCTCATCAAAATTTATACATTAAATATGGGTGGGTTTTTGTATGTCAATTATACCTCAAAAATCTTTGAAAAAATCAATTGCATTTCTGTATATTAACAGTGAACGTGTAAAAACAATAACTAAAAACATGACACCATTTAAAATTGCTCCAAAGAAAATGAAATATAAAAAAATATAGGATATCCTGAATATTACAGAATTCCAGTGAAATAAAACAAAGAAGACATAAATAAATGGGGAGACATGTTATTTGTAGATTATAAGATTCAATACAGTAAAATTGTTGATTCTCCTCAAATTTATATGTAAGTTTTGCAAATTCTAGCGAAGTTATTCTATAAACAGGTAAGCTTATTCTGAAATGGATAAAGAAAAGCACAAGCCCTAGAACAGCTCAAATAATTTGGAAAGAAGAAAATGATAGCTACACAGGGAGTTTCCTTGTGTTGTTCCCATGCATCTGAGTATTACAGCTCCAATTGTTTCACCTCTTTCAGTCCTCTTCACTCTAGTCTGGTTCCAGTGGTGGCCCCAGCCAGTTTAAAGTTTATCGTATAGCTAGAGTGATGAGGCAGTGTGTCACTTGGAGGGAGAGGACAGATATTGCACAAGTAAGCAAGGTATAAAGCCAGATCAGTGGAGGAATGGTGGTCTTTTCAGGAATGGGGCTGGGCAACTGGACATTCCAGTGGCCAAACAAAAAAAACCCGCAAGAAATAAAAAGTTCTTCTTAAGGTTCAGACTTAAATGAAAATTAACCTGAAGTTTAATGAATTAAAGTAAAATATAAAACTATTAAGCCTTTAGAAAAATACAGGAAAAAATCTTCGAGGCTGAAGGTTTGGCAAAAAAAATAAATTTTTTTTAGACTTGACCGCATGACATGATTCTTGAGACTGTAAAGCCAGTTAATTTGACTTCATCACAATCAATATTTTTCTCTGCCAAAGATTCAGTGAAGGAGATGAAAAAGACAGGTTTACAGACAGGAAGAAAATATTTCTAAACCACAGATCCAAGAAAGGAGTTGTATCTAGAATATTTAAAGAATTTTTGAATATCAACAGTAAAAAAACATCCAGTTGTCCTTAGGGAAATGCAAGTTAAAACTACAGTGAGGTATCACTACCTGCCTGTCAGGGTGGCTAAAATAAAAAAAACAGTGATACCAAGTGCTGGTAAAATGCATAGAAACAGGATTGCTTATGCCTTCACGTTAGGAATGTAAAATGATACAGCTACTGTGGAAACATTTTTTTTCTTTAAAAGCTAAACCCAAGTTCCCTGCACAACCCAATAACTGCACTGCTGGGTATCTATCCCAGAGAGGGAGATTTTCTGTTTGCAGTGAAACCTGAACAAACTTTCACAGTAGTGTTGTCATTTGGGACAGCTCTAAATTGGTTCATCAAATATCCTTTAACAGATGAGTAAATTGTGGTAGATTTGCACTGTGGAATATTACATGGTAATGAAAATATATGAATTACTGATACACAAAAACTTATATGTATCTCAAAGAGTATGTTGAGTGAAGAAAGCCATGTGTACTGTGTGTCCCACTTTTGTAACTTACTTGAAATTACAAGCAGTCTAATTGTCACCCAAACTTTAGAGATGAGAGGAGAACATTGGCTGTTGCTATATAAAGGATTCTTATGATAGAATTGATCTGCGTCTTGATGGTGGTGGTTGTCACCAAGTCTGCATGTATAGTAAAACTGCATAGAGGTAAACATGCACACACATATGAATATATATGTAAAACCTGAATAAGGTTGATGATCATATCAAGGTAATTCATGGTGATAATGTTCTGTGCTTGCTATACAAGATGTTTCCTTTGGGGAAACTGGGTGGAATGTTTGCGGAATCTCTCCATATTGTCTCTTACAACTGCATGTGAACCAACAAAGAACAAAAAGTGAAAGATTAATTCACCTGCAAAAGAATGAAGTGGGATCTCTACTCACACCATGTGTAAAATTTTACTCCAAATGGATCAAAGACCTCAGGGTAAAGATAAAACTATAAAATTCTTAGAAGAAAACACAGGCATAGGCCTTTATGACTGTGGAGAAGGTAGTGATTTCTTAGATATGTTACAAAAAATAAGTATGTAACTTCCCAAATTAAAAGGTGATAAATTAGACTTCATCAAAACTAAAAACAGTTTTTGCTTCAAACAACACTATCAAGAATGCATAAATGTAATCTACAGAATGGAAAAAATGTTAGAAGTCATGTATCCTCCAAGAAATTATTTATTTTAATATATTTTATCAGCTGGGCATGGCGTACATGTCTGTAATATCGGCACTCAGGAGACTGAGGCAGGAGGATCATGAGTTCATGGCCAGCCTGGGCTACACAGCAAGACTGTGTCTCAAAAATTGTTTTTTAATTATTTAAAACATATAAAGACCCCAGTGCTGGAAAAAAAAAAAATATATATATATATATACATAAAGAAGCCACATAGGGTGATACATGCCTGTGATCCCAGCACTCAAAGGCTGAGTTTCATTAGTTTGAGGCCAGCCTGGGCTACACAGGAAGACCCTGTTTCAAAAAAAAGAGGCAAAGCATCTGCACAGACATATTTCCAAAGCTATACAAGTGGCCAATAAACGTGTACAGACACTCATCAGCACTAGTTGAAGAAGTACAAATGAAAACCTCACTCCATTCCTACTAGGATGGCTATAATTAAAAAGACAGATTTTAACAAGTGCTGGTGAGGATGTGGGGAAACTGAAACTCATACATTATGCTACAAATGGCAGCTTTGGCAGACAGCCTGTCAGTTTCTCAAAAGGTTAAACAGAGTTACATATGGCTGAATAATTCCCCTCCTAGATGTGTGTTCAAAAGAAAGAAGAAACACATGTCCACCGGTCAGTAGTACACAGATGTTTATAGCAATATTATCCATAATGGCCCAAATTTGAAAACACCTCAGATGTCTAACAAATGATAAATGGATGAAGAAAATATGGTATGTCCATTTATGGAGTGTTGTTAGGCAACATGGATAAACATGCTGCAACTTGGATAAACCTTTACTAGTGAAAGAAGCCAGTCACAGAGGGTCATGGTGTATTTGATTTTATGTATCTGTAGTATCTCAAATAGGCAAATCCACAGGGACTGAAAGCATATTAGGTCAGGAAGGAGAATGGCCAGGTGACTGCTAATAGGGATAAGGGTTCTTTTGGGAAACCTTAAATGTTCTAAAATTTAACCACCTAGCAAGGGCAAAGCCTGGAGTTCAAACCCCAGTATCAAAAAAAAAAAATCTATTTTAGCAGACTGAGGGGATAGCCCAGTGGTGAATGTGTTCTTAACATGTATAAGGCTCTGGGTTCAATCCCTAACAATCACTCAATCAACAAACAAACCAGGTAAAGGTTGTATGACTGTGAATATACTAAAAATCATTGACTTATACACTGTGGGTGAATTTTATGGAACAGAAACTATATCTCAATAAAGTTGTTAAACTAAAACTAAAAAATAAGGATAAAATGTGTATTTACAGCATGATCATTTCCTATGATGCCTTTGAATACATACAGAAACAACACTTGATCTCTTTCTGTTAGTTAATAATGATTGGATGCAAATAAGGCCCCTTGTACCTTAACTCCCTCTAGGGAGTGGGGATTTCCTCCACAGGTTGATTATAAACAAGAATCTAACTAATGCTGCCTCTGACACACACATTACTATAAACATATGAATACATGCATATGTCAGATATGCATGTAAAATGTAGCTTGACCCTTTGATAGTTGCAGGCCTTTCTTTAATACCGAGAAAAGAAAGGCCTGCCTGACCTCCTCTGATTTTGTTTGAGTTACCACCTAACTTTTAACTTAAAAGTTAAAAATAGTCAACTTTCTATTTAGACTGACGCTCTCGTCATTATGCTAAATTTTACTGTGTTTCTTGAAAAACACTAGCATTGTATCCAACAGAATTTAAATAATACTATCTGTTAATTTTCAGCTTCCTAGTGAGGACCCCGAAATTTTTGATGTTTCATCCAAGTGTCTGTCTATACTGGTTCAGCTGTATGGAGGCGAAAACCCAGATAGCCTGTCTCTTGAAAATCTGGAAAGTTTTGCTGACTTACTAGTATCCAAGGCAGACCCAAAGGAGCAGAGGCTTCTGTTGAGGATTCTCAGAAGAATGGTGAGTCCACATGGAAGCTGGGGGTGGAACGAGCCTCCGTGGCACCCACACGGGCAAGGGTGGTTGTTTCTTGGACCTGCTTTCATGTTTCCAGAAAAGCTCCAAGTTGTAGTAAAAATAATTCCCCATAGTCGCCTGTCGTTAATGTTGATGATATTCTGTCTCACATGCATGTACAGTAAGCCTGCCTTTTTCACGTATTTAATGCTTAAGTGTAATCAAAAATAATTTAAAAGAAAAGAAATTTCAAAAGCAAAACTTTAAATTCCCACACGTATTAGGCAGCTCACTGGATGCCAGAAAGCTCTCAGTCAGTCCTGTGTTATTGTCAGTTGTGTTTAAATCCTTGTTGATCTGCTGAGTGTTTCCTTGGCCTTAATTTTGTGAAAATCTGCCCAAATGGTATCCAAAAAGCAAGTCAGTGAATGTGCTTAATTGAAGAGCTAAAGTGAACATTTTATATTTGTTGAAAGGCATCATGTTTTTGGCAGAAGTTGGGTGGCATTCTGGGAAAATGAATCAAGCATCCACAATACTCAAGATAAAGAGCATAAAATGAGACCTAGTTTTTGGTGAGCAATATTGATTTGCACACAATAAACTTTATGACAATAATGTAGCTGACTTCCTGTGGCTTCAAGCTATGGATGCTTAGACCTTCCATAGCTATGATGGTGTCAGTAAATGCCAGTCATTTCAGAGCCCTGAATGCCATGCATCCCGAGCATGCATGGGTCTTCCTCAACCTTAGTCTCATTGGAACCACATACCCATGGATACCAAGGGCCTACTATACGTATTTTTTTTTCCTGGACTGTTTGAGAGCAAGTTAGAAACACTGTACCTCCACACTCTTCAATAGTAAGTGTATATATCCTTTAAAAGCCAGGTATTCCCTTATTTAATTGTAGTAGTCCAAATCAGGAAATTTCACATGGATTCCATTCTTTCCCTACTCTGCCATCCATATTACAATTCTTTTAGCTATCTATTAACATACATGACTTTGTTTCTGATATAATGTACAGTTCAGGGTTATGATTTGAATACAGACTGTATTTCATGATCTTTCTGAAGAATGATGGCTGGATGTTATGCAGCATCTCTGTCAGTTGGGCCTGGGATGATTCCTGAAGATTAGATTCATGAATTACCCAGAAGTGAATTCATTCCTTCTCAGTCCACTACATCCACCTATTTACTCCTTACTGGTTAATTTTGATCACTTGGTTTAATCAATGTGTGGTTGTATTTTAGTTTTACAGTGGTTGTAAAATGGAGATTTCTAATTGCCAACATTTGTAACTCTAAGGAAACACTTCTTTGTCTTCCCACTTTAGTTCATGTTACTTTATTTAAAAAATACATACAGCTGATATCTATTTGAAAGTACTTTTGAAGACAGACTTTCTTTCTGTAATAAATGCTGATCTGACTTTATGAAGGCCATCATCTACAGCAGCTAGTGTCAAGGTCAGTAAAAGGAGGAGATCCTGTTTGTCCTCCTGGTCAGTCTGCATTCATTTCCTAGATCCTATTTTATAAGGTGTCCTTTGCCAGGGGGAGCCTGTGGATGCTGCAAGGGGTTAGACTCAAAATGACTCCAGTGCCACGGTAAACAGTTTTAGCAAGAGACTCTGCCCAATCTATGTGGCAGGTGATGGGTGGCAGAGCTGGAAGAGAGATAGAGCGATTTGCCCTCCTCACTGCCATTTTACACTGTTGCACAGCCCTGTGCATGCCCACATGAGACTGCCTTGTGGAGTCATTACCCAAGTGTCAGGGTGGTGGTGTGGTCAAGGCCAGTTTCCTAATGTCTGGGATAAGACACCTGAGGACCGTAGATCTTGGCCATGGCATGCCAGCCTAGCACCAGGTGACATAGGATCACATAGTATGTTATTTCCTTTTGATCTTTCTGATGATTCCAGGCACACATTTCAGTTTAATGCTGTGTCTTTAATCCCTATCTAATCCTTCACATTCTCACTTTTTAACAGAGAGCAGGCCTTGCAGACTTTTACAATGGAAAAAAGTTTTGTTTTTTTTTTTTTACAGTGGAGAAAAGGAATTTCTTTAATCATGTTATTTAAGGGGGAAAGGTGAATCAATCTGAAGGCAAGTTGTCCTTCCTTCTCCATGGCACTATGTTCCAGTACCTCAGTGATGCCAAAAAGCACGGAGAGTATTGAACTCTACATGTGCTATGGTTTTCCAATACACACGTATCTATGTTAAAGTTAATTTATGAATTAGACATAGTAGGAGATTAACAACAAGCAAATAGAACCGTTGTAACAATATACTCAAATAAAAGTTACCTCTGTCTCTCTCTCTCTCTCTCTCTCAAAATATCTTATTGTGCTGTAATTACATTTTTATGACAATATGATGTGTTACTTTGTTATTTAAAGGAAGCACTTTGTGCTTCTCCTGCCTCAGCCTCCCAAGTGCTGAGATTACAGGCATGTACCACCATGCCTGGATTCTATTTGTCATATCTGAAATGCCAGCATCACTATTCATATGTCTCAGGTCCATTATTCAGGAAAATAAGGGTTACTTAATAGACACACTGCAATGCTATGACTTCCAGTCTAGTAATGAAGATTGCTACTTAGGGACTAATGGGCAGGTAGTGTATACAGCATGGTGATTCATGCCTCCGGCATGAGACCCCAATATTTCATCTCTCTTCTCAGAACTGTGTGCACTTTAAAACTTAGGAATTGTTAATTTCTGGAATTTTCTGCTTGACATTTTTGGACCACAGCTGACTCTAGGTAACTGAAACTGCAGAAAGCAAAGCTGTGGGTAAGGGGAAAGCACTGTTCTGAGCTTAGTTGTATAGGACATCAGTAGAAAAGGCAAAACTGTTAATTTGGTAAATAATAACAAAAGTTTGGAAATACTTGTCTAATATCTAAAACGTTATGTTTGTAGAGATTCTCATTCACTTCTTTGAAAGTCTTGAGACCAGATTTATTTTGGAATTCATGTGTTCTTATCTTTTTGGTGTCATGTTTATATAATTTATGATATGATAACCTAGCAGACACTCAGTGCCATCACTCAGCACAGTAACATCTCTGCAGCAATTGTATGAAGGCTTACACCAAGTGGACCTTGTAAAGACTTACTGCATGGGCTGCTGTGGGTCCACATCAGGTTTTGCTACTAAATATGTTTTTGAGCTAAACTTTAAAAAATTTCTTTGGACTTTTCAGGTCTTTATAGATTTCAGAATTGTGGCCAAGAGATTACAGATTTGTCATTGGAAATAAATTGCTTCATGTTCTAAAGCTAATCAACTTAATCATATAGAAAACAAATTAGACCAAATTTGGTCATAACCAGATTCCACCATTGTTTGGCTTAAAATGATTTCCTGTATAGTGTCTGACTACTGCATGGGCCAGGTTGGCTTTGTTTGTGAAAGAAAAGTTGAGTCCAAGGGACTTTTACCTATATATGCAAAAACAGAAGTGGTACTGATCCTTTTTTTTTTCTTATTGTGGTAAGTGTGCATAAATTTTACTATTTAACCATTTTAAGTACACAGGTCAGTTGCTAAAGCCCATTAACATTACTATGAAGTCATCACCACCCTCCATCTCCAGCACTTTGTCATCTTTCCCACCCGAAACTCTGTACCCATTAAACACTGACTCCTGTGTCTCCACCCGGGCCCTGGCAGCCATCATTTTGCTTTTTATCTTTTGGAACTTGACTCCTGTAGGTACCATTGTAATTATACAGTATTTGTGCATTTATGTCTGGCTTATTTCATTTAGCTTAGTAGCTTTCAGTTCATGTTGTAGCATGTGTCAGAATTTCCTTTTAAGGCTGAAGAATATTCTGATGGATGTATGGAATCTGTCCATCTACTGCTGAACACTTGGGTTTTTTCACCTTTTCTGCCTCAATTATTTTTTCCTTTACTTATTTCTTTGTTATTATTACAATTGACTCATGGGTTGTTTTTTCATTCCATGGATTACAACCCATAGCTATCTCAGATTTGGGCAGTGTTTTTTGACATGCTCCTATTTTTTTTGAGAGGGGGCACTTTCCATCATAACATGATACTCCAGGTTCAACATCTACCTCCTCTATACCCTAGCCCTGGAATCTACCATTCCTCCAGTGAACCATGAAACCTTTTTTTGTACAGTTTTTAGAAAGCATGATAGAAAAACATTTTGGGTTGAGATTATGAAAACTATTTATTTGCTTAACAAGAAAGAAGTGTGACGAATGGATTAAGAAAATGTGGTATCTATACACAATGGAATTTTATGCAGCCATGAAGAAGAATGAAATGTTATCATTTGCTGGTAAATGGATGGAATTGGAGAACATCATTCTGAGTGAGGTTAGCCTGGCTCAAAAAACCAAAAATCGTATGTTCTCCCTCATATGTGGACATTAGATCAAGGGCAAACACAATGGGATTGGACTATGAGCACATGATAAAAGCAAGAGCACACAAGGGAGGGATGAGGATAGGTAAGACACCTAAAAAACTAGCTAGCATTTGTTGCCCTTAACGCAGAGAAACTAAAGCAGATACCTTAAAGCAACTGAGGCCAATAGGAAAAGGGGAACAGGTACTAGAGAAAAGGTTAGATCAAAAAAGAATTAACCTAGAAGGTAACACCCACGCACAGGAAATCAATGTGAGTCAATGCCCTGTATAGCTATCCTTATCTCAACCAGCAAAAACCCTTGTTCCTTCCTATTATTGCTTATACTCTCTCTACAACAAAATTAGAAATAAGGGCAAAATAGTTTCTGCTGGGTATTGAGGGGGGGGGTAGAGGAGGGGGCGGAGTGGGTGGTAAGGGAAGGGGTGGGGGCGGGGGGAGAAATGAACCAATCCTTGTATGCACATATGAATAATAAAAGAAAAATGAAAAAAAAAAACAAGAAAGAAGTGTAGACAGTTCTAAGAGTCAAATATACTTTTTCTGCTGTCTTCTGGAGGGCACCAAAGTCAC